GACCTCCTGAGTGCTGTTGAACGCCTTACTTACCAACTGAGCTACACCCAGTTGGCCAGAAGGGAGTTTGTTAAAAAAAGAGAAGTTCTTCTGTCGTCCTCCGCTGTAGGTGCATAATCGTATGGCAGAATCCCATTCCGTCCTTAGGTGTTGGGTATCCACAGATTCTACACAGCATAATTGAAGAAAAGCGAGCAGATCAAGGGGAGTTGGGGGGGGGTGTTTGCTGTCATGCGATAACCGAAGGGGAAGAAGCGTTGCGCGCCATAGCTTTGCAGGCGAGACAGGTGCAGCCATAGCTGTGCTCCTCTCCCCGAGTACATAATCGTGTTTGACTTTCTTTTGGGGGCTCAACCTTTCACCTTGACCGAAGTGGACGGGAGACCTTAAACCATGGGAAGGCGGCCGGGTTCGGAAGTACCGACGCGAAGGGGGTTTCCCCGCTTGAAAAACAAATGCCCGCCAGTTAACACGGGAACTTCAAGGCGGGCGGGTTCGAAAGTACCAACGTGAAATGGCGGGTCGCGCCAGGCAAAAGGAGCGACGTGCCGGTTCGTTTTTATTTTCCGCGCAGGTGCATTTTAGGCTCGGCAATGATAGCCGAGGAAGGTACTGGTGGTTTCAAACTTCTATAAACAATGATTTCATAGCCAGGCACTGGTTTGCACAACCGATGGCTGGGCGAGAAACAATCGGGGCCAAGCAAAAACAATTGGGGTCACGGGTCACATACATTTGGAGCATGTGGTCAAACAAATTTGGCCAATTCACCACCCTAAATAAAGCACCATGCAGCACAGTGCCTTGTGTTTGGGCACCCATGCCACATGGTTTGTGCCTTTAGGATTTGCATCACAACAGCCCCTGTTCCACCCAGATGAGTAGAATCTGGTCCGAAATCAAAGCAACTGTACCTCTACTGCAGGCAATGAAGCACACTTGAGATGAGTCAGTCCAACAATAAAACATCTACCTCTCTAGCAAGCAGTTCTCTTTGGTGTTCTTGAAGCTGTGTGTATGTATCCATGCCACACAGTGTGTGTGTGTGTGTGTGTGTGTGTGTGTGTGTGTGTGTGTGTGTGTGTGTGTGTGTGTGTGTGTGTGTGTGTG